AAAAAAAAAAACACAGTCTAATATGTGTAATATGCCCTTTTGTTGTTCATCTGAAGTTATATTTAAAAATTTTTAGAACTTGATGAGGGAAGGAAAATCATCCCCCCCCTCCCCTTATGTATAAAACCTTAGACTTGAAGGAAGCTGTACTTTGTTTTTATATTACTGTATTTATGAATAACTGTTTTAGGAAACTGTTTTATTTAGCCCAATCCAATCAGTTAAGATAGATACCTCTCATTGCACCTCTGGCATGATCTGTAACATGTCCTTAATCACAGCAGAAGTTTTAGTTTACATGATTTGAGCGCCATCTGTTGGCATTAAGTAGGTGTGATCGGGTAGTGTTTAAAATTTTTTGCACTAGAGAGACACGGCCAAGGAAAAGGCCATACTATTTCACAGCACATTTAAAAAGCAAAAAAAGCAAATAAATAAATAAACAAATACAATAAAATTAAAAAAATAAAATAAAATAAAAAAAATACAAGTTTTCCACATTTGTGTATTACAGGCTTTTCATAGACCATTAAAGGTTAGAGAGCTACAAATAAAGGTAAGACATGATGCACAGTTTTCTTTAAAGAAATAGAAACAAATGTAAATGCTTAGAGGCTTTCGTCATTTAAAGGTGTAAAACAAATCACCACTCAAGTAAAATCTTTGTAAAATCAAGTGGTGGATGTTTTTGCACTAAATCGTAGGTTGCCTTTTATCGTTCGTCAATGGCAGCATTACTATTTGCTCTCTTTATTCAATGCAAATGCCAGCACTTATTTTTGGAACAGCCCTTCTTAAAGAAATTACTGATGTCACCCTTGGCTGAACATGCGACGGGTAACAAAAGTGAGTGTGTGAAGAATGAACCCATGACTCATCTGACTGTGCAAAGCACTTTGCTGTCAGAGAAATGCTGCCAGTGTAGTTCAGACAGACAAATGAAGGAGCAGTACTGCAATGCCAGAGACTGACTGAATGAATTTTTGGATTCAGCTAAATGTTATGAATTCATTTCCAAACTCTTGTAAAGCACTCGAGTGGAAAGGTCCTGTGTCCAACCCTGGTTGACCACCTGAGACCTGTCTGTTTGCAGTCTGCATGTTTCCTCCTACAGTCAAGATGTGCACATTAGATGACCTACAAAAATTAACGCATGCTTCTTGCTGAGAATCTGCTGGCCTTTCCATCTGCTGGAGGTAAACCAGGGTGCACCACACCTTCTGCTCATTGCATTGGGGAACAATCTCCAGCAGTCTGCAACACTGAAGAGGAGAAATCAGTCATACACAGTTTATGCAGCCTATTATAGTTCTACCTTGAAGCAAAGACACATTAAATTCATGCATCCTCTGTTTCTTCACACTCTTGCGGAATGAAACTCACGAGAGTAATTTTATGTGTAGAAAATAAAACAATTACCTGATGCTATGAGTGTTAAAAAACTGGGGTGTTTGTGACGTGCTTCTTTTTTGCCGTTTGAAGTGAAGACATGCAAGAGGAAGTTTGAGAACTGCTGCACTACAAAGTGAATGCAGTAAATCTTCACCAGGAAGCATGCATCAAAACTCTTTTACACTAGGTGGCAATGCTGTCATCTTGTTCGCCTTGCTCTCTCTGCTATGGAGTGTTTGTGGGATTTCCTTTTTCCAACTGATGAATGAAAAAAAATAATCTGTTGCTCTTCTTGCAAATCCCTCATGTTGGTGTACAAACTGCTTGAAAGAAAAATCACTTAGATTGGCACAACATCAGTGATACAATCAAAATGTGGTGGTAATCAGCAATTACTACAACTACCTGCAGGGCCCGTTCTCAAGAGCGTTAAAGTCAAAAGCCATCATTTCCTGTAACATAAAAGGCTTCAGAGGTGCTTTTATATGCTCTCCTCAGAGGCACATGAAAAAAATGTGGGGAAAGATCTCAAAAAATATAAACTGAGTAAAGAATGGATGGAAATTTAAATTCTGCAAGGATTTCCTCTTCAGGTACAAGCCCTGCTCACATCCTCTCAACGAAAGTAGGAAATGTTTGTTGCATTATGGTATATAATAAAATGCAAAGGAGTGCCATGTTATGTCACACAGAGCCCCCGGGTGGCCACTTCATTAAAAGACTTTAAATGTCTATCATGAGGCTGACACATACAGACAGTTCAGAGTTCCCAGACAGTGGAAAGTCATGTAAGGTAAGTGTCATATCTTTGGGTTGTAGGAGGAACCTGTATCACCTGTAGGAAAGCAACAAAGATTGAGATTGAGGGTGCAAATTTTTGACAAAATGCTCCAGTTAACCACATCCTCTGAATTTAATTCATATACAGATTCAGTGGGCACTTTGTAAGGTACACCCAAGTATTACTTGGACCCCCTTTTACCTTCGCAGCTGGTAAAATTCTTCATGGCATAGAGTCAGATGGGTACATGTTGGATATGGTCATCAGCGATATTTAGGTAGCCTGGTGTTGAAAACTATTCTCAGCTGGTACTAAGGAGCCCAGAGTGTTCCAAGAAAACATCCCCCACACCATTACACCACCAACAACCTGAATTGTTGATACAATGCAGGATGGATCCATGCTTTCATGTTGTTTACACCAAACTCTAATTCTGCCTTTCAAATGTTGCAGCAGAAATCAAGACTCATTAGATGAGACAACATTTTTCCAATCTTTTGCTGTGCAGTTTTGATGAACCCATGCAAACTGTGGCCTTTACTGTTCTTAGCTGACAGGAGTGATACCCAGTGTGGACTTCTGTTGCATTTCGAAATGCTCTTCCGCATACTGATATCGATGTCTTTTTGTTCTCTTCTTATGTTAGAGGGAAAGATGGGACATTTTTCAGTTTAAATAGACTGCCGAATTGGAAAGGGTGTGTTTGGAATATAGATATTGCCAGCTTAGAGTTCTGATTATTATAACAGATTCGCACAAGGCTTTCTGTTGACTATATTACAATGGATAAGGCATAGGCATTATGACCGATTGGTTATTGAAGTCCACACTTGAAACCTGGATGTGAGCGTTTTGTTTGAGACCCTCTTGGTGTTTTAAAACGGGACGTGACTAATGAGGCAGATCTGACCGAGAAACAAAGGACACTGCAAGTATGACTCCAGCTCGTTTTCAAAATGAACATCTTGTACTCAGTAAGATGTGAAACAACCAAGACTGTAAGCCCATCAGGAAAGTTTTTAATGAGGTCATAGATCAATTAGTATTGTTTTCCCATAGAATTTTGTACAACTGGATGAGTCACCCGAGCTGTCCATGAAAAAAAAAAATCCAGAATAAATGCACTTCTACAGGCTTCAGTGTTCAGGCTTTTCGGCTACTGCTGTCTTTTATATACAGTATATGGAGCTGGCAT